GTTGTTGACTTCGGGCTCAGATTCAGATCCATCTGAGAAGCCTTCTGCTTGATGATCATCCAACGGGATTTGGTGCTCATCATCGGACTCTGCTTCAAGCCATCCTGCGTTGCCTTCATTTGGAAAGTACGGGTCGCCGTGATGAAATCCAGCCATGATATCTACACGAGAGAAGGTATATAAGAATCTTTTATAAATGGGCGTACTAAACTAAGATACTTATAATATGATCTTCATCAGTTATGTCAATACTTGTGTAGTGGATACTTAGTTATATGAAATTAGGGTAGGATAGTCATTCGAATAAGTAGCCCTAACTCCAAATCCACAACCAAACAAGGAACAGGAAGTGAGGCAAAGATGACAGATTCTGAGTCTATAATACCTAAATTTCATATAACCTTAGCGTACACACTTAACAATTATTGACTTACTTGATAGAGACCCTTTTTAGTTCTCAGGTATGTAGTTATAGTAACCCAAAATACTCCTATAGTATTTTAGATTTATGTTATGTCCTAATGTTCTTATCATAGTAGTGTTCGTAAGTTTTTAGACTCATTAACATATCATAACCATTCTAGGGCATATGCTAATCACTCTTCGGACCAGCATAGTTGATCAGGCTATGCCATTCCCAAGACTGACCATACATCCCCGAGCTTACCTATGATATTTAACAATCGTAATACTTTTGTTCTTGTCATTGTGACACTGGTTTTAGTATGAATGCAGCCTAGTATTCTTAATTAAATATTTTGGTATTTAATGTATAGACTCTTGGTTAGAGTGTTTTAATCCTAAATGGGTTTATAGTTTAGTATATCTTTTATGGGTTGATATACTTAATTCACTATAAACAATGCTCTGATACCAATCTGTCACACCCCAAAACCGAGAACGGCGGAAACGTTCTGGGGCGGAGGACATCATGTAAAGTATCACAACACAATGAATGTAAATAACCAAACAACATCATCCATTGCATTAAATATATAATTTTAATACAGGCGTGTTCTGTACAGTTATTGACACCAAAAATAATATAAATAAAAAATAATAAGATGAGTCTTGGATGCGCTCCATCTTCTCAAAAGTTGACCTCGGTACCTGTCTACTGATGACCTGAGAATACAAGTTATTTTGAAAGAGTTTATCAGCATTAAACTGGTGAGTTCATAAGTAGTTTAGTGTTGGTGTTTGTTATTAAAACGTTTGAATGTGTCTCAAGTGTAAGTTTGTAAAATGCATGTAAATGTTTGTAAGTGTTTGTAAAAGTCTGAATCTCTCAGAAAAGCCTATATTTTCAATTAAAGTAGCCTTTTACCAAGGCTTAACTGTTTTGTACGCTCGTTTGTTGTAAAAGTGTGTAATTTCCCAAGTGTAACTACCATTAACAGAATATAGCTTATACATGAATATTTACGTGGAATAATCACTAAATGTATATAATGGGTAAATTAATGTAGTACTGTAGTGTTGTGTTATGGGAACTACTGCTATACTAACTACCTTAAACCGGATTTATATTAAGGTATCATGTGATTTAATTCTACCATACTATCTACTGAGTATCAACGACAAATATAGGTCCTAAAAAGGTATGACGTTTGGCACCCGCAGACCTGCAGGTCCGGCTGTAGCTAGCAGCAAGGTGTAGGATAGTCAATCCAGTATAGATCTATACGCAAACTCACGCTCTCCCTCTAAGAGATTCTGGTTACAACTCGGGCCATGACAATTAAGGCATGCACCGATACAGTGGATCACATTTATGAAAGTATATGTAGGTATATGTATATGTATTGTTCTTGTTTTAGTATCGTTGTATATGTTCTCTTCCTTAGTATAGTCGTATATGTTCTCTTTCTAGTATAGTTGTATATGTACTCATAGTAATGTAATGTATATGTTCTCGTAGTAATAACTATTGACTCATGAATGAACTGACTCATTGATCTAGCAATAGTGTAAGAGTAATCATGCGTTACCCCGATGGTAACTTACTAAAGATGTAATTGCTACGCATGAATATGGAAGTACTTTTATGTCAAAATATGCACATATGATATATAATTAATATTGAAATGACCCTCGGACAGCTACCCGACATCCCACCAGCCCACATCCAAATCGAGGAAAAGGAAATAGGGCGGATGGCCTTCCTAAGCCTTTTAAACATTTCTTATATATTTATGCATACATGGACATGTAATTTATAAGAAGTATACTAAGGTTTAAATAAAAGTATTTGATAAGTAAAAGAGTTTGTAAAACATTTTGAAGTAATGCAGTTTGATAAACAATTTGAACGGTGATAATGATGGGTTTTAGCCATAAGAACTTTCCTATGTGCGCATGCAAAACCCTAATGCTCGGATCTAGGCTTTCTAATTAAACATGCTTTGAATCCAAGACTTCTAATGCCTAATTAGGTTAAATAACAACATTGAAATAGATCTAGAACCATACCTTTGAATTCCTTGATGATCTTGTAGTCTTGGAGCTTCTAGAGTCACAAATGTCACTCCTCTAATGGCTTACTGATGTGTGTAAAACCAACTAGTTTTAATCCTACTTTAATTATCAAATAACACACAAAAGGCAGTGAACCTATCGATTGTGGTATAGCTAAATAAGCAGGGTATCGAACACAGGGAACGACAAATTAAATTAAAAACTAATTCTATCTAAGTTGATTAAGCAAAAAGGGGTTTTTCTCTAGTTTTACAAGACTAGAAACTTACTAACTAAAACTAATTTAAGACTAGAAAATGACAATTTAACTAGATTCAATAATGAGAAAGGAACTTCTGTTTAGTTCAACTCGGTTAACTTTATGGTTGATTTTAAGGTAATAGTGCAATGGATTAATTCTTTCGTTGGTTACCGATTCAAGTGATTAGGTTTATGTTCACTACCCTAATCCTTAGCAAATAAACTAATTCAAACAGTGGCCAATTGCTTAATTTAATTATATTTACTAGATTAATTATTCGGGTTAAGTTAGACTTGCAATAGCTAATTAATTCATTATTCTTAATTAACCTCTTGTTTGATGGTCATCTTACAAGCTTGCACATGAATTTACTCAATTTCCTTATTAATCCTAGTTTCATATTCATTAATTCTAGACATATGGTATAGTGGTCACATATCATATGAGGTTGATAATCAATAGATGTTCATGCTAATAATTATCTTCCTATTAACAGAAAATTAATTATCATTCATACACAAGGTTCTTTAGCAAGCTAAAATAACAAAATTCACCAACTTAGAATTAATCCTACCAATCAATCAAACCATATTGTCAACTTTGTATTCCCAAACAGAAGTCTAAAGAATTTAGTTCATAACTAAGGTAAATAACAGCAAACAAATAAGTTCAAGTTGCTTAATCATGTTGACAAAACAAAAGAAATAAGTAGAATGATGAAATTATGCCTTAATTACTCCCGGAATTGAATTCTAGCTTCCTTAGTCGACTTCTAGGGTTCTTCTGGCTTCTTATTCGCAGCTAAGCACTTCTGAAACTTCCCAGAATTCTCTTCTCGATTTGTGGAGTTATCTTTATATATGCGTTCCGACTCGTCGAGTCATATGGTGACTCGTCGAGTCCCTCTCACATTCTCCGTATTGCGATAACTATCTTGACTTCCGAATCATTATCCTTCTGATTCCGCGACCGGACTCGTCGAGTCCAGGCTCGACTCGACGAGTAGAAGCCTTTTTATGGGTGTTTTCTTTCTTCATTCCACTCTTGAGCTCCTAACCGCTTCTCTTGCTTCCTTTCGCTTCCGAGCTTCATCTTTGGACTGAAAAACATAATTTAACACTTTTAAGTACCTTTTGTCCATAATATGCAACAATTTAGCTAATATATGAATAAAAAACTATACTTAATACACACTAAATATGCACATATCACTTAC